ATCTATCTATCTATCTATCTATCTATCTATCTATCTTTTCCTATCAAATTAAGCATAATTTGTTGTTAAGCGTATCGATTATAATCAAAGTAAACGATAAAACTGTTAGGGGCTAAAATGAAAGACGAAAAAATCATTTCAAAGAAGAAAAAATCACTAATCAAACAAACAAATAGCGTTTGGAATTTAATTTCTCATACGGTAACGTATATTTGCACGTATACGAATCCAATCAATCCGATAGATACGTTAGACAAATCAGATTTCAAATAATATTTAACCTGCATCTATTCCATTATTTTTCATTATTGATTAAATGTTTTATGAATGAATGAATTTTTGATTCCGATTTGTTTTTTTTTTTTCCTTTATTATTTTTCTTTCATTTTACATAGAATTTAATATTTAACAATTAAAATAATAAGTTGTCTCTCTTTTGTTAACTGTCAATTACAGCAAATATTCATCATTTCTTTTATTTAACAATTTTTTGTAGTTTGCAAATTTCTTCATATTATTTCCAGTTTTTTTATATTTGTAAAATTGCTTTTACCATTTTGTAGGTTTTTCTTTCTTGTCCTAAATTGATACATTTGTTATATTTGCTTTTTCTGAAAGGATTTTTTTTTTTTGAATGTAATTCAAAATTGATCAGATGTACAATATATTAATCAGCCTGCTGTCCTTTTTTTACTGTTAAATTTCCACTCTCATTCAATGTGCACCATCTTTCTTTTATCTTCCGTAAAACATCAATTTCTCCATCAATTTTCCCGAGAGTGAGGTAAAAAATCATGTTGCGGTAGTAGTAGTAGTAGTAATAGTAGTTGGTGGTAGTTAGTAATAGTAGTAGTTAATAGTAGTCAGTAGTAGTTAAGAGTAGTTAGTAGTAGTTATAGTAGTTAGTACTTAATAGTAGTTAATGGTAGTAGTTAATAGTAGTAGTTAGTAGTTAGTAGTAGTTAAAAGTAATTAGCAGTAGTAATTAGTAGTAGTTAGTAGCAGTTGGTGGTAGAGATAAAGGATTATACAGAAAAGAAGACTGCAGTATCGGTGGATCAACGATGGTGGCAGGTAAGAGGCGAAGAATTGGTTGCCTTTCCCTCTAATGGTTATCGTCATCGTCGTCGTTGTCATCATCATCAGTTGATTAGAATTGGATTCTTTTTAACGGATGATGATGATAGTGATAGTGATATAGTGATATAGTGATGGTGATGGTGGTAATGGTGATGGTGATGGTGATGGTGATGGTGATGGTGATGGTGATGGTGATGGTGATGGTGATGGTGATAATGACGATCATTTTGATTTGATATATTCTTGCAACAATAGTCAGGGTTTGCCTGCTTTTCTTCATGCCTCTAATGCTCTCTTTCCTTCGGAGGAATTTTTCGTTATCACTCTTCTTAACACTGTTACACATCACCTGTTATCACTTATCATTTTATTAATATTATTCCAATCATTACCACATTAATTATTTGTTCATTTGTCGCTAGTTTCTTGCATAGTTACACCTGTAGCACAATTTTTAGAATAGTGCACATAGAAATGATATAATTGAGATAGATGATAAATACAGATAAATAATATTCTCCTCTATTCAATGATAAAATTAAATCAATTAATTATTTTCTTCATAAGAATTCATCGTAATAGCCGCCTTTTCTTTCCTATAAAACTATTCATTTTGATATTGAATATTTTCATTATCAGTGATAACAG